TTATTATTCATCAAACTACTACTTTTATTAGGCATCTTGCATGTGTTTTGTCAGCCAATTCTCATAACAGACATGCAGAGCAAACATTATGGCCCATGACTAACTGACATTTATTGAACTAACACTACATATTAGCACATTTGATCTCTACCACAACCCAATGAAGTAAAAAGTGAAGCACCAAGCTTGTCATCACTCGCCCAAAGTACCCCAGTTGGAAAGTGACAGATGGTATTCTAACCCAGTGAATCATGAATAATTTAAACAAAATGCTTAACTCAAATGAATATGATGGATCCTTCCCACTGGTGAAGCCAATGCAACCCTCAACTCAGTTTCCTAAATATCAGTGCATTCATTATACTGGAAATGCGGTGTTTTGTGTGATTTTAATAATTCTTGATTCTTTGAATATTGCATCCTTCCAGCTGGCACAATTCCGCAGTCTTCTATCAAATGCTGAAGGGAACAAAGCTGCCCCCATACAGCACAACAACCGATCACCTCAGCCTCTGAAGGGCAGAGTGGTGAGAGCCTCGTTCTAATGGGCCCAAGAAGGAGCTCCTTTCAAGGACCCAGCCCTGCTTCTGACATAACATAGCTAGATGATCATTTTTAAGAAATCAACTTATTTCAATACTAGCAAGACCGCATACCTGCACATCTATTCTGTAGAATTAGAAAAACAACAAATTTAGTTCTCAATGCATAATTCAAATAATCTGTAAGCTTCCAAATATTGATCTATAAGCGTAAGTTCATGCTTAAATTCGACTTTATCTTATGGAATTTTGTGGAATCACAGCTAAATGATTTTGTATCCCTTTTCTTTTAAGCTGATTCAATAAAATAGTTTTATCTGTTTCTTCTTGTCTATTCTGTATTCTATAAACACCATTAAGTTCCCATTCCATATTCATTTTTAAAAATTAAATACCGTATTTTGCCTCAAATATAATAAGCTAAGAGCAACTTGAGCTGAAATATCAAGAAAGTCATTTGCTTACTTTTAAACACAAATATGTAATATAATATGTCATCTGAGCTTAATACTACTATGCTGGCCCAACACTGCTACCATTTGTGTTCTCTGTGATAAGAATAGTATCTTTTCTTTTTTTCCGCCCTCTCCCCTCTCTCCCCCGTGTACTGCTCCGAGTCCGGACTCCCTCAGCCACCATCATGATTATCTCTCGGGACCTCATCAGCCACGATGAGACGTTCTCCAACACTTACAAGATCCGGGAGATCGCGGGCGGGCTGTGCCTGGAGGTGGAGGGCAAGATGGTCAGTAGAACAGAAGGTAACACAGATGACTCGCTCACTGGTGGAAACGCCTCCGCTGAAGGCCCGGAGGGCGAAGGTAGCGAAAGCACAGGAGTCGCTGGTGTTGATATTGTCATGAACCATCACTTGCAGAAAACCAGCTTCACTAAAGAGGCCTACAAGAAGTCCATCAAAGATTATATGAAATCAATCAAAGGCAAACTCGAAGAAAAAGACCAGAAAGAGTAAAACCCTTTCTGACAGGGGCTGCAGAACAAATCAAGCACATCCTTGCTAATTTCAAAAACTATCAGTTCTTTATCGGTGCAAACATGGATCCAGATGGCGTGGTTGCTCTCCTGGACTACCGTGAGGATGGTGTGACCCCATTTATGATTTTCTTTAAGGATGGTTTAGAAATGGAAAAATGTTAATGGATTTGGCGGTTACCTTGGATCAATCACTTGTCATAACTGGCTGCTGCTTGTCATCCACACAACACCGGGACTTTAGACAGACGGGACTGATGTCACCTTGAATGCTTTGTTTATTTTGACCCGATTTATTTGGAGTGGAGGCATTGTGTTTTGGGGGGGGGGGGAACATGTCATGTAGGTTGTCTAGAAATAAAGTGCATTTAAACTCATTTGAGAGAATACCTCTTAGTTTAATACGTGTATAAACTAAATCCATCGTAGTGTTCGTGGAGAAGATAGAGGCTGGTCACAGACCACTGCTAGAAAGCGTAAGACTGCCTTCAGATAACTTCTGCAGTGGAAACTACTGGGACTGGAATATAAGACAAGAATCAGTTTTAATTCTGAGTTGCAGTGAAGGGGTAAAGACTATACTCATAGCATTGCCAACATTTGAAGTGGAGCCTTATACATTTCATCACCTACAGTGAAAGTAGTTAACCCTGGAAGAGATTACCAAAAGAATAAAAAGACTAACTCAGTTGGAAGCAAAAAAAAAAAAAAAAAGAATAATATCTTTTATAGAGGAAAATGATGCTTCTAAATATTGCTTCCACTTTTTCTCCCAACAGTATCAAGGCCAGTGCTATTCTACCATTACTGTGACTAATTAATTTGGATGCACCTGTATCTTAAAATTGAAAGAAAAATCATAAGGGAATGGTTTATAAAAAATATTAAAGCAATTATGTGGCATAAAATCATAGAGAAACAGTTCAATCTTTTGTGCAGTTAATCTGAAAACAGTTTTCTCTGAAGCCATACATACCTTCAGAGTTTTGCAACCCTGGGTCCAATATTTAACCTTGGGATTTACTTTAGTTCTCTTATCTGAAAAATCGTATTAGAGACCAAAGCTCATTCCAATGTTTTTCATTTATCTACTGTCACAGAACCAGTCAAAACCTCTAAATAACTGTCATCAAAGTTAGAAAGAAGACCCAGCACATTCTTCTTTGCGCTCCAAGAGCTCTTTCATGGAGGAGCTATTTATTTTGACATAATAACCATCCTCTTAGTTCACAATAATCATATCAATTGGCTTTTAATTCTAAAATTATCAGGTCATCATGAGAGACAAAGAAATAGATATTTCGGTGTAATTTGAGAAACACATCTATAAAAGATGGTCAATACCTACAGAATACTTGAAATCTTTTTTTGAAGGTGAGTAGTTTAGAAATAAATTTCACAGGAAGGATTTTTTAAAATACCTGCTAACTCATATATATTTTAAGAAGGTTGAAATGGATTCCAGGATTGATAGATAAGTCTCTTGGTCTCATTATGGAAAGGGTAAACATCTGACAGGAGACATATGATGGTCATCAAATTTTATCACTAAGCCAAATGCCAGGTGGGGAGCATGTTTCCCCTTCCTGCTTTGCCAGAATTTCATCAATTTGGCACAACTTACCAGGTGCATTATAGAGGCTTTCCACCCTTCTCTGAAGAGGCCGATAAAAGCAGCTGTTGAGAGAAGATATGTGTACTAGGCGTTAGATCATCTGAGAATTCAGCTCATATGTTTTGGTGACTCATCCTCCTGTTGTATACCCTCCTCTTTTGCCAATTTAGGTATGTAGAGGATTTGGATATCATTCAAGGATTCTGTTTTTTCCATGATGTTTGTCAATGGACCTTCCTTATGGCAAATCTGTTGGACTTCTCAACACACAGAATGACAATGCCAGCTGATGAGGCTCAGCCTAGGCTCAACGGTACAAGAGTGCTCCCACATCTTGCTGTTCTCTGTCTTCTCCTCTCCTCCTCAGAAAGACCGTGCAGAACATTTATAGCAATGTTCTGCTGCTTTGCAAGTCCAAGAAGCTCAAAATATTTCCTAAGTTGTTCATATTTGTAAATTTAAACAAAAAAAACCCTAAAAGCATTAAATTCATCAAAATGGGAATCATGCCAAAGAAAATAAATTTTAAAAATCTTTATTCCTTATAGGACACAAAAGAGTGTGTGTCTATTTCTTATAACTCTAGTTACTCCATATTAGCGGCTCTTTACTATTTTGTGGTCACAGATAACTATGAATATGTGACAAAAGCTATGAAACTTCCCTCTCCCTCACCTCTCCAAAACAAATTACATACCGAGATCTAATCAAATTTTGTACTAAATTTTAGTTTAAAGATTTACCCTCTTCATTTCTTTTCAGTCCTGAGTCATTCTGGACCTCAGAACAAGATCCTTGCTCTAAGTCTCAACTATTAAAAATAGGCTATAAAGGGCTCTACGTCTCTCTTGATCTTTTTCCTAATATAACATGTATTTTTGCTTTTCCACATTATTCTTTAGAGCAGTTGCTTAGAGACAGACTGACTATATCTTTATGGTAGAGTTCATAATTTATCTTTCTTTTTTTCTTTCTAATTATTATTTTGAGTTGTTATAAGGTTCTTTTTTAAAAGATATAAAAAGATAAAAATGAAAGAAAATCCAAATATTAGTGAATTTTTATTAGTGGATAAAATAAAGTGTCACAAAAGAGAGTTTAAAAGGACATAAAAGACATAGCTCAATTAGGAGGATATCATCAGATTAATAATGGGCCAAAATCATTCTGAGTAACATCAACATTCTCTGTTTCCAAGACCATGAACACATAAGGAAATACTTATTTTATGTACATTGTCTTTATGATTACTATGAACTCCAAATGCTTATTTATCAACTGCTCCCTATGACACACTGTACCTGGATTTCTTTATTTCTAATAGATTTGGCTATTTTCAGTTTCAACTTATAGACAGGTAGGCATAGATATGAATGAATATTTTGCATTTACTTCAAGGCTGTTGTACTTTGACAAAACAGAACCATAGAGAGGGTACTTAACCTATTATAAGAAGATAGCTGGTACTGTGTTCCTAGACTTACATGGACATAGTTATAAAGGTAAGGGAAAATGCATGGAATAATAAGTATTTTAGAAGGGGTCATAAAAGGGTTCTTGTTCACAGTTCTTGCTTTCACAGAGACATAACTCATAAGGAGTACCATAGAGTGTTAAAAATATGTACTTGGTTTCATCTTGTACCAAAAGTGGAAATGGAAGACAAAAGGGTCATATTTGTAGACATCAGTTAGAATCCTGAGATCACAAGCTCACTTACTGCAAGGTTCTTACAGTGGTCTCTGGAATGCTAACCCCCTTACAATGAGAAAGTAGAAAAAGCAGTTATGACAGGGCGGACTATAGTTAAGTGGTTTTATTTTTTTACCCACAAAAACTAGAGAATATACATTTTCTAAGTCATCAATACAATTTCACTCACTTTTATATATGTTAAGCCATTTAAGTATGTGATTTTCTATTATGTTACTAGTTGACCTGAATTTCCAATAAGAAAAATGTATGACAGAACTGTACTGCACTACAATAATATTTAGCTACTTAGAAAAAAAAACAGATCCTTATCTCACCCATGTACCAAAATAAATCTAAGATGTATGACATTTTTCAGAGAAATCATTAATATACTAGAAAATATATAAGTATTTAAATAATATTTAATAATATGTGGTCAGAGAACTTTATTCTAAATATCAAAAGTTAAAAAGAGAAATAATAGAATAATTGATCAACCTGTGAAAATTTAAAATATGCAAATGAAAACAGTAACAGTAAAAACCTTTTGACAATAAGGAACATAACAGCTGAGAAAATTTTTTCAACATAATTGACATCCACAGGATGAAGTTTTTACTATATGAAAAAGTTTCCCAAGTTATTAACATAAAAGTTGAATTATCAAGAGAAAATAGCAGAAAGATACAAAAAAGAGCAATTCGGTAAGAAGAAATACAAATGACCTATATATACATTAAAACCGCTCAATGTTAGCAAAGTAATGCCTATCAAAACAATGTTTCATCATTCTATATGTATAAAATTAGCAAAGATTTTTAAAATAATGCACACTGCTGACAATGATACAAAGAAATAAAAGCTATCATACATTGGGGAATAAGGGAAATTGGTACAGTCTGTTCACTAGCAATGTAGAACTCATTCCAAAAATCATGTCATCAAAACTCTGGGTTCAGTATCAAAAAAGAAAAGTTAAGTGATACAACTTTAAACTTGCTATCCTGAGGTTACCTTAT